TGCAAGACACGTTCATTTGTATGGACGTTGGCGTCTCATACTCTTTCGTCAAAGCTGGGAATATACGATTCCTTTGCTTGTGTCCTCACTCTACTAGACCTGCGCACTCCTGGCGTCTGCTCAGGTGCCGCTTGGGTTTCAACACCCACTCCTGGGATCTGTTCCAGGGGCTGTTGGTCCGTAGTAGGTTCCGGTTCCTCTACCGTTTCGACGATAGGTTGTGTAACCGGTTCCGTTTCGATTTTCGGTTCAACGCCGATTTCATTCGGTTCGTTGACTATCGATTCGGCTTCGTCGTCGTTGACGTCGTCGTTGACGTTGTCCTGGGGATCGTCGGTGTTGTTTGCTAGTAATACTGCAGCTTTTTGGGGAGTAATTTGGTTTTAGATTAAGCTGAAAGCAAAAGTGAGGATTTCTGGTGGTGCATAGCAATTCTTGTGATTGAATTGGATATAAGGACCCCCGTAACACTTTAGACCTAAAACTCCCTCGGTTCCTTGCATGATCAATTTGCATGCGAACCGGACTAGATGATTAAGTACACGAGTCAATAGTAAGAGGTGTCAGGTATGTTTCCTCCAACAGTCGGGATCATCTTCCATTTCGTCAATGGTTTCAGCATCCGCGTCCAGGTCCTCATCGGTTTGGATCATTGGTAGTGGGGGTGCGTCATTGCTTTCTTCCCCTTCCACTCCTGTGATCTCGACATCACCAATGGTCTATTTTTTCGATCAGTAAAAACGAGTAGTTAGGCTGATCTTTTCCTAATAGATTGACTCTAGCTATCACTGTGTCGGGCATTGGGATCTTGTCCCATGAATGCCGAGTATTTTCTTGCCGGGAGCGGAGGCTCATAAATTTTTAGCCTTCCTTGCTTATTTCCGCTCGTTCCCATACAGATGGCCGCCTTTGTGCGTCCTACCATGCTGTTACGGGGCGAGTCTTCTTCATGCACCTGGCAGTAATCTCCGAACTGCAGGCTCAGGTGCTTTTTATAGTCCAGGGACTCTCCCATCATTATCATACGGGGGCTCATTGTCTCGCTGACCCCGCCTTACTTGGGAAGTACGTCAACTGTTTGACGACTTGTAACACCAAGTTGACGGTTAATATTTTTGGCATGCGTGTAAACGGTAGGCTATGCCGGACAGCTCGTGTCCTTTCCTTGACTACCCGGATTCTACGTTCGATCTCGGGTACGTGCTCATTAGCACTGGCAACGTTCACTACCGGTCCACCCGGCATTGCCATGATTGTGTTGGACAGAGGCTCAAACTCATTGTCCACATGAATGGTCGTGATTCTAAAACCACGAGCCTTGTAGAATCGATGGACCTCCTGAACTGCTTCTAGGATGGTCTCTAGCTTCCTGTTGGGCAGGTGTCTAGATGCTTGGTATTTTCGGCTGAACTATTTGTTAAGAAGATGTAACTATAGTACCGTTCCTCTGCGTATGCCGAGACTGTCCTCTGGTCTTCGACTGCCAGGTCAGCGTATTCGGTGCCTGGGTGGAGTAGGTTGGCCGTATGCAGCAGCGCTGCGTCGTGTAGCTTGGAAATACCCACGGATTTTGCAATGTCCTTCTTGGTGGTAAATTGCTCGTGGTATTCGGAAGCGGTGAGGCTCCCTTGGTGGAAATTCAACAGTTGTTTTTCCAGTTGGAATAATGTGTGGTACACAAAATTATCATCGGTCTGGGCCATGATCGTCTTATGGATCAGTTTTCGTAGCTCCAGTGGGTCGCATCTTAACAGGACGTCATCGTAGTCCGTGTTCTACTTCATCTTGTCCTTTAATAGTCGGGTGCACTGCCCTAGGATCAAGTTGAAAGCTTTGCCTCTATTTTCTTGTAGTTTTGCCAACCTCGTAAGGTGGGTCTTCATCAGCCCTCCATACTCTGCTTTCTCTAGCCCCCGGAGTTCCTCTTCCGGTGGGTCGGCTATGGCTGCCGTGAGTTCGGCTATTTCATTAACGAGTTTTGCTTTTTCTATCGTTAGTGTGCGTAAGCTACCGAGAGTCGGGTCATTGGTGACTGCGGTTATCTCTGACTCTAGTAGCCGTAGGCTGGCTTGGGTTGCCAATAGAAGACGATTATTGTTCGCTTCATGTCGTACCTTCGCCGTTGCAAGCCTGTTCCGGGTCTCCTCTGAGTACACCGGTGCTACCAACACTGTCTTTTTCAGGTTGCGTAGCTCATTGCTCATGTCGTCACCCATCGTTTGTCCAACGTGGATGACGATCTTCTCCCATGTGCGTATCATCTGGTCTGCCGTTCCAGATCCAGTTGTACCGAAGTTAAACACATGTTGGTCGAGGGCTTTGCATGAACCTTTCTGCTGGTTCGACGATGGGCTGGTTCTTCCATGCCCTCGTGCTTTGCCGCCTCCTCGGCCACCTCGTCCTTTACCTCTACCGCTCATTGTCTATGCTACGGTAGGTGGACTATTTCAATTCTTTCTTTTTTATTTGGCTAGCTCTTTATTTTAAGTTCTCGTCCGACTACTTATTCGTCTTATGGCTATGGGGCGATAACTTCAAATTATACTCCTGGCTAGGGAGTGTTAAATCTATTTACTAAAGATCTTGCAGGGAGGGAACGATTGCTTCACACACTGTGCGGTCGTTTCCACTCCGAACCCGTTTCTTTGTATTGTTGATTCCTTGTTGGGTGCCTTTCCTTTGGCCCCTGCGCTGGCACTATGGCTTTCGCGCTTGTTGTTGGCTCTGACAGTTCCGGCTGGATGCTGTCGGCTCTCCTATCGATGGCTCTCCTCGCCAATCGACCTGTCGACAATCCTTGTGGATTCTGCCGATGAAACTCTCTCGCGTCGTCGCGATCGATCCGTCCTCGGATCCTTCTGTTGCTGTCGTTGCTTCGACAGGCTTCTTCTGTTGCGGCGTCGCTCTCGTTGCGTCGTCGCGTTGCCTTCAGTCGTGAGGGGCTTGGTCTTGTGCACGACGGTCGTTGTCGCGTTGCTGTCGATCCTTCGACAGGCTTGGTCTCTATCGTCTCGTCGTCGTCGACACTCTTCTCCTCGCGTCGCGTTGGCGTCGGCCGATCCGTACTCGATCCTCTTGTGTCTTCCTGCTACCGTTGTCTCGATAGGCTCCTCTTCGCTTCGACTCGATAGTAGACCGCTTTTTCAGTAGTATGTTAGTTGCTCTAAGCTCTCTTCTAGTTTATTTGCTATTGAGATACTACTGAAAAAGTGGGTGGGCTCTGTATTCCATGCTATTTCTACTGGCATGAAATTCTAGTACAGAGGTACAGGTTCAATCCCTAATCGCGAATCCCCAACAGCATGGATCATCATTGTCCTAGCCTTCCAAGTGACAATCTTAACAGCAGCTTCAGCCAGTCCATTCTGATGATGAGCACCAACTCCACTGAATCTGATTCCTTGATCCTTGGAGGTAAGCTCTTTCATAAATTCCTGAGCTGTGAACACACCATTGTCAGTATGGAACTTTCTGACTGACACACCCATTTCAGCTGAAAGTCTTTCAAAAGTCTGCTTGGATTTCAGTGTTTCATTTGCAGAGAGTGCAACTTGATGTTGGACATCAATAAAGAGTGATGCATCATCACAAAAGATGGTACTGCCACTGTGTTTCTGTGAATCTTTCTCCCTTCCATAGGAAGTCAACAATCTACCCTTAGTACGGGATTCCACTTGGTCCATATGGATCATCTCACCAGGTTGGAGCTCCTTTCACAGGCTGAAAGCCTTGTCACGGTGGGAGTGTTCTGTTCCAGTAGGTGTTCTGACTTGCTTGACAAATTGACAGGTAGCTCACTTAGGAGTGCTTGTTCCAAGCAACTTTCCAAATTACACTGCAGCTTGGTCTAAGAAGCCACGAGAACCCAATGTACACAAGTGTTGCAAGCCCATATGTCCCAACTTGAAGTGCCAGCGAAGTAGTCTCTTCAATTGCTTGCTCAAGTTCTGATTGCTCTCATCAGCAACTGACACCATTGCCTTCAATGTAGGCTCAGCAGTACCAGCTGGGAACAGATTCATGGTTGGTAGGAAAGTTTCCCTGTCATAAGGGACTGTAAAGTTCTGACCCTCACCCAACTTCAACATGGAATCATCAATGCCAAAGAAATGACCAAACATTTTCTTAGACTGAGAAGTGTCAAGTGCCCATTGATGGTGAGCAATTGCTCTGGGGCACAGCAATGTCACAGGAAGCTCTGGAATATAGTATACCCAGGAGATTCAATTGTTACAATGTTGCCTTCATCTGACACAGTCTCAAAACATAGCATGCCTTCATATTTGATCTCAATTCCTCCAGCAATTCCACTCATAGTCTGGTGAATAGGTAACTCACGAAGAGAACCAGGTTTGAATAAGGATCTTTGTTGGCAGCCGGAAAGGTTGCACCAGTGTCCCAGACAGCTCTCTCCGTTCTGTCAGCACCAGCAGTAGCAATGAATGCATTTGGTTGATGTGCAAGATTGCCACGGAGTCTGTCTCGAGCAGATGGTGTCAGCTTTTCAGTTTGCAATTCTCCATAGTAACCACGGAACTTGCGAAGATATTTTCGGTCAGCAATTTCAGACTTCAATGACAAATCACCATGGGCATGCATATTCAGCAGTGAGAAGGCAGCCAGGAGCAAGTTTTTCTTGTGTGAGCGCCTCTTTGGTTTACCAAGGCGACGCCTCCTTTCAGCACGCTTTCTACTTTTGCTGGTAGCACATTTGTCAGGTGGATGTGTTTTCCACTGCCATGGCACATTTTCAGCCTGTCGAAGTGACCAGAGATACACATTCCTTAATGTCACAGAGCAATAGTCCATCCAAGTCCTCCAATTGCAAGAACCCATTCTCAACATCACACCAAACCAAGCATTACAGAAAAGGTAGGCAGAGTAAATGTGCATGACTGCTGGAAATTCCAATATGGGGTTGACCTCAGGAAGAATGAATTTTGAAGGTGTTGGAGGTGTAGATTCAACCACAGGATCAGGATCAGGGTCTGGATCAGGGTCTGGTTGGAGCAGATCTAGTTCAGGACAATCAAAGAACATATGATCATCAAGAGGATCAGTATAGTCCAATTGTCGGAGGACTCTACGACTAGTAACTTGATGGTAACAAAGAACTAGAACGAAAAGAGTGAGAGGATCACTATTCGATCCTCTGTGGCTACCGGTTGACTGACAGACTGTAAGTCGCGTGACACCCTCCCCTGATTCGGACTGCGGAGCAGTTCGAAGCGCCAAGTAGAGCAAATGGAAGGAAGGATAGAAACAAAAGGTAGCATAGAGTAGAAATGGAACATAGAAAAGACAGCCAACCCCAATGGAAGTCTCTGAATATAAAAAGAAATAAAGGTTAGTAGTGATCCATCAGCCGGCGGGCATGGCGTTCGTGAAGAATCCAGCCTAAGGGCTTGGTGAGGTCATCAGAGGGATTTATAATCCCAGGAATGTACCGCATGATAATATCACCGGCATCTTTCCAATCTTGAATGGCAAAATGCTGAACAGCAATATGCCGGGACCGATCCGTGGGGATCTTAGCATTGATCATATTGATGGCAGACTGATTGTCTTCATGCAAAGGAGTTGGTCCAAGCTAGGCAAAACCAAGGTCTGCCAGCACAGCGCGCAAGTATTTGGCATGCTTGGCGGCTGCAACAGAAGCCAGGAACTCTGCTTCGGTAGAACTTCACTGGAAACGAAAAACTCTGCCAAACAATGAATTTGCTCTGTAGTTTCACTCTACAGAAGGGGCAGAGTGAACTCCCAGAGTTTTGGCTAAGTAATGAGTTCGAACAGGCCGCAGAATGTATGTGACCCGAGTTGGCATGACAGGGACGCAGGGCATGATTCGATCTTGCACAGACCAGGTATACTACTATCTATATATGTTATACCTATATATATTTATAACACAGGTTAACCGTCCTAGAAAGGAGTTGTCACTTTCACAAAGTACACGAAAGAAAACAATTACGCCCTCACGCAAACCAAAAAACAGTCAAGGCTGACTGACAAAAGACATATGGGTATGCACGAAAGAAGGCACAAAGAAGAACACATATTATCTTATACGTTAATTTTTCAGGTCTAGAATATACCTAAAACCTTCCACCTCGAACCTCCTGGCTAGCCGGATATCTTTTGGCATGATGGTGATTCTCTTGGCATGGATAGCCAAAGGTTGGAACATTGGAACATGTCCACAAGATGGGCTTCTGACGCTTGGCTGGAGAGCTTCCATTGCAGACACTTGGAACCTGATGTCTTTCTAATATCAGAAGCATGTCTCGAACAAGACGCTGAAAGGGCAGTCTCCTGATTAGGAGATCGGTTGCTTCTGGTACCTTCGAATTTTCTGAGAGCCACAGTCCTGGGCGATAGCGCTGTCCCTTTTTGACACACACCTCAATGGAGGAGGGACCTTCCTGCGGCCCGCCTTGCTAGCGCCTTCCGGAATCTGGGATGTTGTCGTTGGCATGAAATTCAAGCAATCTCTGTTGGCATGAACTATTTTTGAAA